AGAAGCTTTAAATAAGCTTAGAAAGTGATTCACATGATTGGGATCAATCCAATGAGAGTAGGGTTTGTAACCCTAACTAGTGATTATGTATGAATTCATTCAATAGATGATAGAATATAATGAATTGAGTAGTATAGGATACTTAATTCATTAACTAGATGAGATTAAGAGATAGAGTTTGAAAAGATAGAAAGTTGATGCATTAAGTGGTGAGGTTGACTTAGAGAGTCAAAAACTTGTAATAGGCTAAGACAAGTATTAAGATGCTTGTGAATATGTATGATTAGGCCTAAGAGAAAACAAGATGGATCTAAGATGAATCAATGGTAGAGTAGAGGAAGATGGAACAATTAGTCTTCACTAACTGATAAGGTGAGTTATTACTCTCATTCTCTCTTTAGATTATGTATTTTATATTTTTACATGTATACATGTATGTTGGAGCTTAGGGCCCTAAAAGAATGTCCCTAGGAGATGAGATGAAGATAGATGAAGAATATGTGTGTAAGAACATGTATTAGAGCATATACACATATTAAGAGTATGTAAGTTGGACACACAAGATACATGAAGCAGATCATGTATGTACAAGAGTATGTGGGTTTAGATGAGAATGGTATTTACTAAATACCTTAGAGATAAAAGAAAGAATTAGAAGATGAATATATGCAATATAATCATAAGAGTATGTAAGTATGTCTAGACATTAATGGTATTGTAGAATGCCAATATGTTATTAAACATAGATATAGATTAAGTAATTAATAAGCTAAGTACTAGAAGAGAAAGATTAGAAGGTCCCTTGATGAGACAAAGAGATATATTGTCTGAGGGACTAGTGTTATGAGATGAGTCACATAAGAAATATGGAGATATAGAGATAGAGGTTCCTAAGGGAACAAAAAGAAGGTTCCTTCCAGAACAAGAGAATGGTTCCTTCGGGGGCAAGAGATAGAAGGTTCCTTCAGGGACAAGAGTATGGTTCCTTCAGGGACAAGAGATAGAAGGTTCCTTCGCGGACAAGAGTATGGTTCCTATAGGGACAAGAGATAGAAGGTTCCTTCGGGGACAAGAGTATGGTTTCTACGGGGACAAGAGATAGAAGGTTTCTTTGGGGACAAGAGTATGATTCCTACCGGGACAAGAGATAGAAGGTTCCTATGAGTACAAGAGTATGATTCCTTCAGGAATAAGAGTATGGTTCTTACGAGGACAAGAGTATGACTCTTATATGAATGAGATGATGGTTCCTTAGGGAACATAGATAAAGGATCCCCTTTGGGGGATGTAGATAGATGATTCTTACGAGAATCCAAATTGGTATGGTTTTAGAATATAGAGAAAAAGGTTCTTTGAAAGGAACAAAATAAGACAGTCCTTTGTAAGAACTTAGATGTAACCCACGAGGGGTTAAGTGTAAGGAATCAGTGAGAGATTCAAGAGTAGAAAGAAAGAGTAAGGTTCCATGACGGATCATAAAAGAGAAGAGTAAGTCCGGATGTGTTCACCCTGCGATGAAAGTGGGATGTTGTTTCCTTTAGAGTATAGATGTGATCAGACTACGAAATGTGACCATTGGGTCTAGATGAGAACATAATGTTGGGGTATTTGAGTTAAGAATAAAAAAAGGGTGAAGAGTAAGCAGAGCATGTGAAGGTATGTTAAGCGTTAGAGCATAGAAAAGTGATAGAGAATAGATAAAAAAGAGCCGAGAAGAGATAGAGCCAGAGACAGAGTTAGAGTATGTAAAGAGTATGAAAAGAACATATTAAAAGGCTAAGAGAAGAGTATGAGAAACAAAGTAGATGATAGACAAAGAGATAGATGATATGATAAAGAGTAAAAGGAAAAGATTACAGAAGAAAGATAAATGGGAAGAGATAGATGAAGAGGAAATAACATTATTGTATGATATTAGAGAAAGAGTTATATGACAAAGTATGATAAAGAAAAAGAAAGATAGAAAGAATAACTCACCAGACACAAACACATTGTGTCTGATGTTGTAGATGTTTATTTTTTGCATATTCAGGTAATAGCAGACGTGGTACTAGAAGAGAAGACAGGAGCACGAGGTCAAGAGATAGATAGTTGGATGATATTATTGTATTTCCTTGTTGTTTAATTTTATATGTAATATTTTATTATAAACCCGTGATTTGTCCTGGGAAGTAAAGGTTTTTAATTGTTTAGAATTCCACAATGTAGATTAAAACTTTGATATTTCTCTTAGATTAGGTGTATAGAAAATTTGGGTCGTTACATAAAACATGAAAGAACTTTACCCTTTACTCCCCATCATAACTTTTTTAGATTAAAAAAGAATCGAACCTTAGTTGAAATGAACAACGTGATGTTGATCCAGTTATGTTTACTAAATAATCTATAGGGGAACCACTACTGATTCTGTTCAATGTACAAAATAGGATCACTATTAATATGATTCCTACGAGTCCTTATGAGTTTTGGAGGAAAGAAAACCAAACTTATATTATTTAATAGTCATACACTCGAACTTAAGTGATCCAAATTAGGGTCCCAATCTATAAAGAGTATATTCATTAGACATGCTCTAAATAGAAATGATCACTAACTATTGTATGAAGAATTTGGTGTCATAGTTGAATCCATAGATGTAGAAGTATTTGAGGACAAGTTTCAAAATACGATGAAAGTTCTAAACCTAAAACACTTCAAGTAAATCTCAATATAATATTTGATTTTCTCAAATTATAAAGATACAATAAGAAGTACAATGGATAAAAAGGAGAAAAAAAACTAGGATATGATTTTCTATTATATTTGGATGAAGGGACTCAAAACAAAGTAACAAGAGAGTTCATTCTTCTACATTAACTTGGATGGTGATCCTAACACCGCTAATACAACCATGTCGTTTAGGGATACTCCTTTTCCAGGAAGGACGATATCAATGACGATATGGATCCTATTATAATAAATATAAATTAATAGTAGTTGATATACCCAAGGAGAAGAAACCATTAGCGTCCAAATGAATTTTCAAAAGAATGTATCATCCAGATGAATCCATATATGCCTATAAAGCAAAATTAGGTTTTAGAGAATACAAATAGATAGAAGGAATACTTCGATACCTATATATGTTATGTTTTATAATATTAGTTCTACTAGAACTTTTATAGCTCACTCATCCTTAAAGGACTATACATTCATCAAATAGATGTGAATAAAACCTCAATGAATGAATGGTTATATTGACGAGGATATAAATAAAGGAAGATTAGTTTATGAAGGATATAGCTATATAGAAAGAATCAAATACTTTGATACATATGCTATGTTTGCTAGGATTAGTTATATTAGAACTCTTATACCAATATCAACCTTGAAAGGGCTATATGTTCAACATATAGATGTGAAGAAAGCCTTTACGAACGGTTATCTCCATGAAGAGATTTATTAGGAGCAACCTAAAGGTTTTGTGATATGAGGACAAGAAGAGAATGTGTATATACTTTTTAAATCTTTGTATGATTTGAAACAAGTTAATAATGACTTTAGCGATTTGATACCACTATGACCTCTTTTGGTTTTTAGCATAATAGTGCTAACATGTGGATTTATACCAAATGCACGCTTGAATACATAATCATTATCTGTCTTTATATCGGTGATATGGTGATCAGTAGTACTTACTTAGAATGTATATTTTGATGAAGAAATATAAATCCTTGCACTTTAAAATAAAAGATATAAGATAAGTAGATATCATGCTTGGTATCAAGGTGAAAAGGATAGATAGTCAACTTTTCTTGGTCAATCTCATTACATATAGAAAACTCTGACAAAGATTTAACACTTGAACATTATGGAATTTAACACTCCTTATGGTTCAAATATGAAAGTTAATATGATGTATGGTTAAGCACTGACTCAACTAGAGTATGTGAGTACAATTGGTAGCATAATTAATGTCATGCATTTTACTCGACCTAACACCATGTTCTCTATTAACAAACTAAGTGAGTATTCTATCAAGCAAGTACGAAGGTAGTCAAGGTAATCAGTAGAGTACTAGGGTACCTAGAAAGGACAGGTACTTTTGAATTGACATATATGTCATTCCTCAGTATGATATAAGGGTATTCTGATGCCAGTTGGATTGATCATACTAGATATTCAACATCCACAAAGTGGTTATCTATACTCTCGAAATAGAATAGTGTTTTAGGAGAAACATACAACTGACGAATGTTCTTACTTAATCTTTTTGTTCAATGCAATTATGCTTTTTGATGAGGACGACAAGTGGGCGTACATGGGAGCTTAAGAAATCTCGAAAATTCTTAGCTTCATATTTGAGAATGGTGATAAGCAAATGAGCATTTTTAAATATGGAGTTCATCCGTATACAAATATTTTAATGTTATATAATAATGTCATGTTTTTTTAGCATATTGTACATCCTTTTTATAAACATAAACTGTTGTGTATGACAAAAACCTGTTGTGTATGAATTAGATTCAGAGAGACTTTTTAACTGGAACAATTTTATTTAATGGGTAATTGATGAGCTGATTTAGAGAGTGTGTCTTGAAAGACTTCCTCAAATATTTATTTGAAAGCTATATCAACCAAACATATATAATTAAATAATATGTAGAATAGAGTTAAAATTATATTTTGTATATACGTATAATTTATAATATTATATGACAATTCATTTCATTTCTACAAACCGATTAAACCTGATAAGAAGGCTATAATTTATTTCGCGTCTATTTCCTTTTTTCATTTGGTCATTCCATCTAACCAGACTTAATTATATTCACAATACGACACTAGACAATCAGTATAAAGATTTTTGAACTAAGATTTACATGTTTTGTTGAACGCTTTTCATATTTAGTTTGTCTAGTAGTCAAAGGAATTTACTCGGATATTCTATGAGCAGATTAACTATAGTATTGTATTCTGTACCAAAATCTTTAAACATTCGAAACATTAAGTTTACTTACCGGCTGCATTGCTGACAAAACCGCCGTTGATATCCACCAGTTATAACAACTGGAGCCTTGGAATGAAGCTCACAGACTTTATGCCGCCGGTGGTATGTCTTGCAATTACTCATATCAGCAGTGCAACCTTCCACCTGACAACAAGGTTGTACGGACCCTCCTCCACTACCAGAACCCCTCTTTCTCATTACCTTCTTCCTCCTACTACCCTCTCCAAAGTTCTCATCATCATCATCTTCTTCTCCTCCTCCTCCTTCTTCTTCTTCTTCTTCCCCATATTCAATCATCTCATTTTTCAACATATCGTTCATGCTTCTGACTACCCTTCCAGATTTTGTTGTTTCCATATATAAAAAAGAAAGAGTGGATACAGTATATAGAAAGAAGGAAGAGAAAGGAAAAGGTGAAGAGATGGATATAAAACTAGAGTGTGTGAGGACCACAGGAAGTATATATACACACGTAGAGGTTTTTTAATACAAAGTAGTTAATTAAGCCAATTATCGGAACCATTTTTTGTGAGCATAATGAACATTACTTTACACCGAAAAAAAATATATATTTTTTTAAGTTGTGTTCCTTATAAATGTACAATGAACTTCTTATCAATAATATTTCATAGTATTTAAGTTTAATATGGATGTTTATATCGATGAAATTTATTATAACTGTGGTTGTTAATTATTATGTAGCGGTGAATTGAAGGCCATGCATCCTTTTGCAAACACAAACATTAATATTTGTCCCTATGTACATTTTTGTCGTTTTGTTTCTCTATGAGTCTATGACATGACATTATAGTCAATTATGTATTTTCTTTATGCATTGAAACTAAGATCACCGCTAATTTTGAAAAATTTCCCAACAAAAACGATGGGACAATGTGCAATGGGGACACACTCTATATATCTCTATGTAAAAGACATAGATGCCATCTTCATCTAATCAGCGGAGATAGCCAAAACAATTTGTTCAGTGTAGACGAGCCGCATTCCATCCGGCTATAATTGGAACACTGGGAGTTTCAATTCCAATGTAGATTGAACATTTCGTGGACACTATCATCTACCTAGGGATTGTTTACTTTATTTATATGTCAATTGGTGCATCTTTTAAAAGGAGAGTTGCTAGAAAAATAACTCTATTTACATAAATACACAAATCAATTTTGAGGGTACTATAATTCCATGATTCAAAATTTTGGAAGTCTATATGCCTCTCATGGTAGTCTCTTTCCACAGAAGATGCTTCCTGCTAAATTTAGGTGCTATGATTAAATGATGAAATGTGAAAACTTTGTGAATGGTCCAAACGATCCCATGGAGTTGTCTAATATAGGGGTGACACGTGTGTACTTCTGTCACAAACTTTATATTCGAAATTCACAAACTCCTCTGTCCCACAAAAAAACAAATCATTCTTAAAAAAATGGAAAAGACAGGGAATTTGTATTTAGAAATGTATTTTTTACGCAGCTCCATAATTTGCACCTAATGTTGACCACGCATCATACAACAACACCAACGGCTAAAACAACATACTCCGGGAATCCCATTAAAATGAGATAAGAGAGATAAATGCCGAAAATCATGCCTTCAAAAGAGGTAAAACACTACGACATAAAATATATTTTACATTACATTAATGACGAAACATCATACATTCATCAAAAACCTTTTTTGTTTGTGAGATGTGGTTTTTGATTATTTTCTTGATGACAAACAGTAAGTTATTTTGTCAATACCCAAATATAATCGGGATGTTTCTTTTAAAAGGGGATGATATTATTTATGGTCAATAAATTTAGTGAACTGTGGCCAACTAGCTTTTGTTGTGATGATAGTTATAGTACTACATTTTAGCATCAAATTGGGATTAAATTGTACAGTCCAAGTATGTAGCGTGGTCCCAAATGGAGCTTCTTCCTCCACCACATCGCAATTATTATGACATTAAAATTATAATGTTAAGTTATGTGTACCTTATATTTTAGATTGCTGAAATAGCTTGTACCTTATATCACAAATAAGGTATTTTATCCCCAAATGGCTGTTTACCTTGTAGGAATCTTTAACCATCATTTTCTCTTTTAATGGGTGAAATAAGAGAGCAATATACAATTTCCTACGTATTTTGTACAGTTTACCAAAAATAATTGAATTCACGGGGAAAAGTTGTTGCCTCCTTTTAGGTGTGGAAATGTCTAAAATATATTACAATATTACGATATAAAAACAAATATCTTAACTCATTAATCATTACTTTGTTTATATTATACTATGTTATAACACACTGGAAACCAAGGTTTAATTTGTATGTCTAAAATTATTATACATAGAAAAAAAAAGTATTAAATGTCAAACAAAAAAATGTGGTTTATTTTGGATTGTAAGTAAATATGAATTATCGTGATAAGTAAAATAAACATAACACTTTAACATAGATTTTGAAACACTTTTTGTATACAACATTGAGAGTTTTATTTAGGGGTGTAAATGAGTCGAGCCGAGCCCGAGCTTGGACAGGCTCGGCTTGGGCTCGTTTAAGTTATGAGGGGCTCAAACTCGAGCTCGGCTCGATTCGTGCTTTATTGTACGAAGCTCGGATGCTCGTGACGAATTATACAGGCTCGGCTTGGGCTTGAGACCGGATCGTTTATTATCCGATGAGCCTAAATAAGCTTAAGCTCAGCTCAAGCTCGTTAAGAAGCTCATTTACTAATAAGCTTGTTTTGGCTCGCGACCTCATTGATTGAAGCTCAGCTCGAGCTCATTTAATAAACGAGCTTCATATTTAGGCTCGAACTCGGTTCAAGCTCGTTTAATTCAATCTCGATTCGAGTTTTTAACAAGTTGATCCCGAGTAGCTCACGAGTAGTTCGACTCATTTACACCCCTAGTTTTATTGGTCAAATTACTATCTTTATCTAAAATCAATAACTTCAATTATTCTTTGTTATTTACTTTAGATAAAGCAACATATAATTAACTGTGTGTGAAAACTAGTTCTCGCAAAAACATACCAACATTTGACAATGATTGGTCATGACTTTTATTTATGGTCATAGCAAAACAAACTACCAGGGAAAATTATCTCCTTTTGAATTTGAATGAAATTTTGTTGTCCGAAGGCGTTGACAATCTTAAAATAAATATAGCTTCTAGTTATGACCATTGTTTCTAAGATGTGATTACCCAGTGATATTATCTGAAATCTAGTCTCATTAATTACATAAGTCATTTTTTCTGATCAATGTTTCTTAGTAATATAACCACAACATTGGCTTTTAAAATGAACTTATCGTTTTTGGCAAACCGGAGATTTTAAGTCTATTTAGAACATCATATGAGTATAAAGTCTCATCAATTGATCATGAATAAACTTTGATTGGCATATAACCCATGCATTTTTTTCTTCTCTAGGAAACAATGAATGTAGACGATCGTTTATTTCTTGAATGACTTAATTTTTCGGTGTATTACACGGTTGGTAAATCCAAATAAAATGGATAATAACAAAAACATAATAATTAATCATAAATTTACAAATATGTGTTTGTATTACAAGGGTTGATTAAAATAAAATAAAACATTTCCAACTAAATCCTCAGATTTATTATACGAACTTATATTTTAAAAACTACGCAAATAAATAAAATATATTGGTTATATTTATAATTTGATATACCACAAAAATTACTTTATCAAGCCACATTTTCTAAACAAATAGAAAAGATAAAATTTAATAGAAGAAATGTTAAAATATGATTAATTTATAAACACAAATCGAATAATAGCCAAAAGTGTTCATGTAATAAATCCTCAGATTTTAGAGCATATCTATATGATGAAGCGAACCCATGAAAAAAACAAAGGTGATAAGAAGGATTTAATAAAATATCCAACTAAATAATGTGGAAGGATATATTAGAAATACATATCAAACATCTTGTGTGATGTAAGAGAAGCTCATTTGTACAGATTTAATTCATCAACATGTGGATAAAAATATAAATCAAGTATAATTATCATTTTTATAATAATGCAACCAAATAAAATCTCAAAAAGTTAAAAATCAAACCAATAAAAAATATTAATTTACTGACTTATTAATATTTAGATACACCTAAGAGTTGTCGGCTTATACACTCTTCTCCAAGCACCTTGATTCAGTTTAAAACTTAATGAGAGTTATAAAAATCAAACATCATGTAAACAGTAAATAACAAAAATTAATAGCATTGAAACTATAGGAAACATAAAAATAAATAAAAGGAACATGTAGGTTACCAACAGGCTGCAGATGTATTAGGAGATCACAAGAATTGACGATTGACGGGGATACAACATAACTTTAGGCTATTTAAATGTTTTTGAATTGTTAGATGACATAGATTACGATTTTCAAATTAGGATTTGATTTTTGTTTCAAAATTTGAACAACAATTGATATTGTTACCAAAATAAGTTGATTGAATTAATATGGAGGGGAAGATATAAGAGGATGCCTTAGAAGTATGCCACGTGGCAAAGAAGGATGCTAGAAAAGACACGTGACATTTTTAGATTTGTTTATTAGGAGAGGTAGACTTGGTTCATATTATACTATTTGTAACTTATATTAAAAGCCATGATCCCCATTTAGGTGTACGAAGATATTAGGTTTTAAACACTTCAACAAAATAATAAATGATTTTACACACAAAGTAATAAATCCGAAATGAAAAACAAGAGCTAGCATAATCAATTTATGTTGTCCACACGATCAAAATGATCAGCTACTTACTACTTGGTTGACCTAAAACTGTCAATAAAGCCAAACCCAGTAACTCGACAAAAAACTTACCCATGACAAAATTGAAAGCGAATTTGATATAAGAACTAGTCCATGGAAAATTTCTTCCTGGGACGCTACCCCCGACCCCCACAACGGGTGGCTCCCCCTTGACCCCCGCCCACTCTTTTGGGAGCGAGGTCTCATGATTTGTCTCTTTAACAACTATAGGGTCAAAAAGGTGAATCAATCTCCACAACTTAACAATATTCCACTTGGAGGTTGATGAACAAATCGCTGACATCCATTCTAGAACTTCATAACCTCCATCTCTCTTTCTAGTTCGCACATTCTCATCAAGTATATGGAAGGTCCGTTGAATCAATATGCATCTTTAACTTCTCTATAGTTACCATCTTGGTAAACATGTCTATTGGATTCTTCGTACTAAGGAATTCTTCAAATTCAGAGTCCTGTTACTTATCCGTTCTCAGATAGATTGGTACCTCATATGAATGTGTTTTGTCCTACTATGAAA